ATTTTTATTAAAATATCTATGTGGATGGTGAAAAAAATCATATAAATGTATGTACAATAATTGTGACAGTTATTGTCAATCGAAATTCAATCATTTTTACCTTAACAAGGCTTTTATTTTTTTTTAAAAATTTCATGTGAGAGGGTGGTTTTCATCCAAATAAAATATTTAATTTCCGTCTATGATACGATAAAACATGTCAATGAAGTACTAAATCACAGAATCCAATCGTTTATAAGTTGATTTATTTCCTCAGGACACTTTTGCAACAAAGGTTTTTAATTCATTTTTTTTTCTTTTACTTTTACCGGATATTATCAATCGCGGTTACGAGTACCTACATTGTGCGAATTTATACTAACGAATAACGAAATCTCGAAATCTCTTATAAAATACCATCTTCTTTAGATATAATCCCGGTGTATATTATACATACAGATGATTCAAGTTGATATTTCAGTTTTGATGTAATTTACCAAACTTATTTTTAAGCCGTGCGTGATCAACCCGAAAATAATATCGAATTAAGCTATTATTTATGAATTATTAATAATACATATACGTTATTGATAAACGATATCAATCGTATATCTAGTAATACATACTATAAATATATATATAATTAATATTTTTCTATACATTATTTATCGATCAATTGTATGCAATATTTCACTATTCGCTTCGTCGTATTTTATAATACTGAAATTCTTTGATATTCCCATCGAACATTTAAATGAGCACTACGAATTAATAATACGTTGAAACAATAATCTATCCATAATAGTTTTTCAACCACCACTCATTTAATGACTGATCAGCATTCCGCCAAAACTACTTATCGATTTATATTATATTTTTTGGGAATGTGCTTCATTATTATTTATAGATATGATAAAAAAGGATTTTTCAAAAATCAAATTTTTTATGGTCGAAAAAGTTTTAGGTATCCTGGCTTCATATATACATGTTTATCTAGAAAGTATTTGATTTCATAGTAAATGTATGATTTTAATAACTATCAAATGCGGATTATGAACATTAGTATATACGAATAAATAAAAAATAAATATCACTGGAATATTTTAGGCTTTTTTCAATGTAAAATGTTTTCGACGGAAAAATAAATATTGATATTAAAATAGTTTAAAATTACCTGAGCGATACTAGACAATTTAGTTAGTGTACATATAAATGCAATGATAAAATATAGCAGTTATATAAAATTTAAAGAAACACTCTTATTAAAAGTGTTTTCAATTCGTTAATGTTATTAAACGGAAGTGCACAATTTTCAATAATTTTGAATATTATTTTTATAATCCACAATAATAATGTCACAATTTTTTCTCTTTTTTAGTATTTATTTTTTAACTTGAATACTTTAAAAGTGCTGGAATTGAATTGATTGTACTCTTAACCTGTACGAGAAAAAAATATATTTCCTATTGGTAGAAATTCTACCGTTACCAATGTTAAAATATAGTTTAGGTACTCGGCTGAACGTTGTCTTTACGAGCACTTAAAATCCGTGTCTTACTAACTCAGTAAAGAAATTGAAACTGTGTGCCTGCAATTGAAAATTGTTTTACGAATTTGATGATTATTAAATTAAATATTGATTTTTAATAGACACATAGTGCTCTGCCACCACTCCTATATTTCACTCAATAATTTTCCCTTTTGTTTTTCATTATATGCCGTTAACCATTATATTTCATTATATTTTCATATATTTTAAAACCATTTTTTTCCACTCTTAGCCCGATATCTGTATTTTCATTTGATTTTTTTCAAGAAAATCACTTTGAATTTTTTTTTACCAAAAAAATAAAAATGCTTTAATATTCATTTTATTTTTACACCATAGCAATATATCTTCGATAATAGTTATTTATACGTATTCCACGTATACGGTATGTATGGTTTTTACTTTTATTTCCACTTGCTAATAAGCAATCAGAATTCTACATAAAAGCATTTGACTTTCACAGAAATTCTGCTGACGGGAGATGCATTATTGCCGCACGGTTACATTCACAAAATATTACAAATATTATATACACTTTTATAACATCACATGTCGTGTGGCATGGCTTTTTGTTTTGATTAATTTGTTGAAGATTCTTTTGATTATGTTCAATTTTGATTATGCTGACATTATAAAATCTACTCGAGGTAGGTAATTAGTTGGCATTTTATCCGATAGATATGAATCAACGCTCAAAGTATGGAACACAAAAATCATGCTAATACAATTTCCTCTTCGCAAGATACGTCAGATACGTATGACGTTTCGTTTTTCGCTAAACTTTGTTTGGAACAAATCTAATGTATATTTAATGATCATTAAAACTACCGCAACGTACTTAAATCAAGAGAAATATTTGAATAATACTTTAATATTTAGTATCGTTATGAGAATTATTTTCAAATAATGTGCTTTTAATGAAAATCAGTTAACACTAACTAAACAAATTTATAACAACGAGATTTAACTTTTAATGTATCGTTTTAAAATGTCGTAGTGTATATTGTAATTGTTCACTCGTGTATCCACCTGTCATGGAACACGTTACTGAATTAAAAAATCTGTATTATTATGGTAAAAAAGTATAAAATACAATTTTATATTCAAAAATACATTTATTTCGGAATCCTTAATATATAATCATCATTCAAGGGTTGATTTCTTAGCTTTACATCAACCATACCTGTCTACTGTAATTCTGTTGTAGACGTTATATTTAACTATGCAGCTAAGATTCAATATTTTCTAATACAATTAAACAAAGTAGTATTTTAGTTAATAGCTGTTTACATTTATTTGGGTGTCAAATATTTCTATTAAACTTTAATTAATTGTTAGTATATTCTAATAATTAGAACATACTAATAATTAATCTTAATATGAAATTGAAACTTTCGTGTTGCTTCAAATATAAATGTATAGATAATTTCTGAAGGCTATTATAATACAATATGCTTAAGTTAAAAAGCTTGTAACATTTTGACTAAAAGTTAAGTAGTTTTAAAATTGTTCATATGATCAGATTATTTTTACCAAATACTTAACAAATTTGATAACTTTATATAATTAATATCCACGTAATATTTATTAATTAATTATATATATATTATTTTTGAGAGGTTTTTATTGAACACAAAATCAAAGTGCATGAATTTTCGGGGAATAGTAAATTTCTCCATGAGCGTAGTAGCTAAACAATTACATACGTTAGTTCCTACAAATATAATGTGTTAATTCCTATACGGTGGAAATATTTTTGTGATTATCCAACTTTTCCGATTTGGGATAGTTAGATATTGTTTTATATTAGTTATTTTACTTCTTTTGATCAATTATTTTTGTTTTTGAAACGTACATAACTAACTATTTACGTTGATAAGTAAAATGTCTACTAATATTATCAACTACATCTTCAAATACACTTCACTTAAAGCAAAATGTATATGAAATATCGGGAAAATACATACAGGCTGATAATAGTATTCCGTATTTGTTTGACGAATGAGGGAACACGCCTAACAATCAGTACGACAGGCATCACATAAAGATAAATCTTATCGATAAAAATTCGATTTTTCAACACACGAAATATTTACAATTTTTTTTTACTGATAACAATGATACAGAAAATTGTATTATATAATATTCAACAATTATTATATATTTATTAATTTATGGAATATATTATATGATGTTTTTATTATTTTTATTTCTACAGTCTATTAACTGATAAATGTATTTTTTTTTATACCTGCTTGGTCTCATGTAAGAACATCCATTCACCTATACATTCGACTACTATAAATTTATACAAATCTTATTTATTTTTTTTATCTCCTAATTGACTATTTGTATTCAAGCTTGTATTTAAGAATATTTTATCGTATTATCAGCGTTTATCGGAAACATGATATAATTCAGTATTAAAATTAAACTTGGCGGCCGAATGAAATTATTTGAATTCAAATTGCATTTGATTCTAATAGGAAAACAAGACAATCAGTCGGTGAGATAAATTACGTATCACGTTTAATTCGAATGATGGTTTGCGAACGTTTAAAGGCCACGAATGAAATAGCATGATTTTAAACTATCTTGGAGGCTCACCATATTTATAGTAACAGCGTTTTCTGTGTATTCAACTCTATACGTGATGCGGGTAAACGTTTACGTGAGTACCAAAATAGACGAAAAGTACATTTGACCGAATAAAGAGTGAAGGGTAAACAATATAAGAATGGAGAGAAGGATCATAAAAAAAAGCAAAGTACATGATAGGGCAAAACGTGAAAGATAAAAGCTATTTCGTATATGGGAGAGGGTATACATAACAATGAGAACTTTTTAGTGGCACTAGTAAAAATGGTAAAGCATTGCCTCCAACCGACCGTAACTAGTGAATCATAATAATTTATTAATATTAGGAACATTATCAATATTAACATTGAGATACAACGCATATTATGTATTGTCGCACAAACGCACGCAAAACTAACGTAAACTAAATTTACATATTTTTATTACAAAACATTAATTGACTTCCACAAAATCGTGCTGGATATCCGTGCGATGACGGATCGCGATTAAATATTTTCTAGCCGTATGTATTTTATCGGTTCAAACATTTGTAGTTCATTCAACATCGTAATGGTTTGGATCGGAATACTATATCTACGAAAGTGTATTGCAAATGTAAAATATTATTTTTATTATTATTTTTTTTTTATTACAGTCACAAGACATTAACTTTGAACGATTCGCAAAAGCTGTGAACTGCGGTGTTTATATTATTGCACTTTTTTTTTTTTCTATTCGTAGATATATATACTATGTAATGTGATAAAACTGTTTTTTCTCTCGGTATGTGTTGTACAAAGGTCATTCAAGAACGTTTATCAGCCCAAAACGAAACGAATGCACAACCAATGAATCTGCACAGTTATTTAAATTTTATTGTTTTTATCTGTTTCAGGGAAAGATAAAATGCGACCTTTGTAGGTGGTTTACAGGCAGTGATGCTGTTTTTCGCATTTATTGTCTGTGCAATAGCTGTCAACAATGTTTCATCGAAAATAGGTAAGCTGCAACAATGATTTATATAAACTAGTTGTTTTATGCAATTAGTATTATTTAAATGTATTTAAAAAATGTACCCTTACGTTTGGAATTTTTCTCATTATTTTTTCTCATAACTATCGCTTTTTTCGTATTAGCTATAAAACAACCTAGCTGGGAAATTTTAATGTAGTAAACATTGGTAAAATGTCAAAAAAAAACTTTATTGCTATATTACATATGATTTTAAATATTTTATTTTTATTTATTCTTCTATAAATATGCGTTTTCAAAAAAATTATGTACATTATAATGAAATATTTATCCGTGATTTTGTGTTGTTTTTTTTTACTTTTGACAAAGTAAAATTTTCTCTAAACCCTATCTTGAAGAATAAGTATTAACCTATTTCAACTATATTTTTTAAGACTATTTAAAAATCAATAAAGTGCTTAGCTGCAACATACTACGTTGATATATAAATATAATTATTGACATAAATGTAATACGCATATATATATATATATATATATATGTTTGTGTGTGTGTCATAAATATGTGTATGTGTGTCTTTTTCTTATGAACTATATATTTAACCGCAACATAACAAATAAAATAATGATAATAATTTAATAAAGAAAATTCTCAAACAGTAGAAAAATATCAACCATAAATTCATTTTTGATTTTCGTTACATAATATTTTGTGCGGTTATTCGAAATAGGTTACGTTTGAAATCATGAACACTTTAAACACCGAACTTCATATAGTCACACAGTATATGTGGAATACTTAAGTCATGGTCTGATATTGAAGCGTTTTAAGGAAACGCTATATAAAGGAAATATACCCATTTTGTATTTTATTATTCAATAGATAAATTGTAAGTCTGCAACTACATACATAAAAATATCTGAAAAAAGTAGAATGTCTCAGTAAAAATTCTAAATTTGAAGCTGAAAAAAATTGTAATTTGAGACAATGGTATGTCCTTTGCTCTTATCCTTGAAATTCAGTACGTTTCAATATGCGTGATATGTATTATGTTATAATAGAATTTAGTGGTTTCAAATATGTGGTTAATAGACTTAATAATAGACAATTTATTTTTGAGTCTAAAGAAAGAATATATAGCCAGCACCCACATTATTGGACGAGATTATAAATAATAATAAATAAAAAAAGTGAAACCACTCGTCTCATAAAGCTCAAAAGTCTACGCGTGACCTAACATTAGTAGCTTGTTGTCAAATAATTTGTATGTGTAAATTATTTAATTGTTTATAAATTTATATTCTGGAAAAAAGATAATTGAAGAATTAAATAAAATAAAACATATTCATACTGAATGCGCGTTCACGTATTATTAGAAAATAAAAATAAATCATAAAATTATTTTTTTTTCGTCGTGGCCAAATAAGAAGTTTATGGTTCAATTTAAAATGGGTTATGTGGCTTCACATTGACTGATATATGATGTGCTCAAGGCAAGAAATAACTGGTTAACCGAAAGATATAAACGGTAGTGTTGTTGTCGCCACTCGCGACCGCACTATTTTAAATACATATGATTTTGTATTACAATATTTTATCGCGTGTGGCATACAAACGAGCAATATATATATCATATATATATCATACAATATATCATCGGTGGACGCCAGAACATATTCTAATATAAATTTAACAATTTTCTAAAGAAGCTTACAAACATTAGCCGACTGGTGTCATGATATCGTAGGAGACATTGCTGGCGACGACTTCATATCGCGTTCGAACAACATAATGCGCGACGTCGTACATTAATATCCGATTTCGCTAGTTTCCTCCGTAATAATAATAATAATTATAATATCCTCCATGATACCAACCGGCACCGACCGCACACAAACACACACGCGCCCACATGAATAAGTGCACACATTAAACGAGTTTACATTCAGGTCGCCGCCTTGCCATATTTATTACGCGTACCGTCGTCTGCGGGAGAAGTCACTATTTTTCATTTAGCCGAACAGTGCGCGATCGAGGGCGGAAACGATTCCGGTCGCGGTCGTCCGCCCGTCATCTCGTAGCCCTCATAACGATAGTAATAATAATAATAATAATAACCCCGTCGTCCCACCGTTTGCGAAATCTCCCTCTACCAGTCACCTCTCGTCCCAGTCAACCTCATTGCTATTATTATTATAACGACAAAACTGTATTAAAATACGACCCTTGAAGCACGTTTAGTTGTCGTCACCACCGTGACGTTGACGTAATCGTTACGTTCGGCCGTCCATCGCGACGTCACCCGAAGCCACCTGATTATGGACTCGTGGTGCCCGCGACCGGACAATATTTCAATAACATTCGATCGTTGAGTGGAAGATAAAAAAAAAAAAAAACAGTAACAGTAATGTAGTGGTGTTACGCGAAGCTGGAAATATTCCGTACAGTAATAACCTACGAAAACGGAATTACTCCGCGGTACGGTGCGTGCTGCACACCACATTAACAACCGTATCGTTCGTTAAATTATGTGTAACTGTCTGTGTGACGTACGAGAACTGATGCTATATTTCCCAAGACTGAAATTTATCAAATCCAGTGTTCTCATAACATAATATTATCGTTATATTGTTCGCATCTCCGACTCGGTCTGCAGCGCGCTTTTGCGAGTGTGTCTTTGTACCCGCTACGGTGTACGAGTAGAGTGGTAACGTGCACGCGGTTGTTTGGTTAGCTGGTGTTTGTCAAGATAAAACCACGAGCTAAGATTGATGGTAAAAGAAGGCGTACGCCAATTAAATGATTCGCCGAAAACTCATCCGACTCGAGTTGGCTTCGATTGTCCTGGAGATAAATCTTATTACGCCAGTACACGCGACAAACCACCACACCAAGTCACCCTCCACTCCCGCCCCAGTCAAAACTTCGAATAACTTTTACACGAAATTTTCTTTGCAATCGCGTAATCTCCCCGTTCCCGTTTTCCATCCCCCGTTGGTGACGGGGTTACGAGTCACGCGTACGTTTACCATGTACACGCAAAGCACGTATATACAAAAACACAGAACCGGGACGACATATTAAACACATTAGGTACCTTGAGTTTGACAAATTTCAACCGGGAACTTTAATGGACCGAAAGTTCTACACACATCGAGTCATAGACGCGTACCGAATTCCTGACGACTTTTCTTCCCCTCCCCGAGAGACGTTTTATCGAAATATGCCCTGCAATTGGTGCCGCGGGTCGATTTAGATCATCGCAGCGCACTGCATATTCACTTGCACGTAGATTATTTTAAACGCAATAGTAGAAAGGCCGTATCACTGACGGAAAGCTTCTCGTCATAAATTATTATTGTTCGAAAAGGATTATTCATTTTTTCCAACTTGTCGCCAAGGTACGCCCGCTATTTCAAATATTATATTATGTTCAATACGAAAATGCTCCCATTACAAACGGCGTATGGGATATGCAAAATCACTACATACGTGTCAATAAATGACGCGAGACTTGTCATTTGAAAATACAATGTTGACATCCAGTGTTAATTTCACAATTTTAATGAGAATAATTATCCTACAAGTTTTTGTAGAATAAAAATATACATCACAAACCAAAGAAATAAACAAATAAAGGCTTCAAAACAATGGAACTGTAATGGTTTCGCCACCGGGGTGTAAAGTTTTAATCTGAGTTAATAAAACAAAAATAAAACCTTTTTTGGCTAGTGATTTATTGGAGAGTTTCCGACACCCATAGAACGTGCAACCATATAATATCAAATAGATTGGAATTTACAAAAGCATCGAGGAAAAAATCTGGTACGACACAAAGTTTACAACTGAGTGTACCTTTTTCTTTTCTTCTTCTATCGCGTTTCCTATAACATTCCCCCACACTCGTCGGTATTCAATCTGGATCTGCGCTGTAGGTGTAGCGTGAACGCTGTATTTTGTGTATTGATTACTTGTAAAAGCCTGTGGAAAAAAATAGAAGGAGAGATAAACAGAAGTAGTGGGAAGTAGAAAGGAAGAATTTTTTGTGAACACTTTACTGCGGTGTTAGTTGTAAAAGATGAAGGCGAAACAGAATTGCGATGGTAAACAAGTTAAGTAGCCATTACTTGCCGAGTTCATCGTCTCTTGTCAGGTTGTCAATAAATCAAAGTGACCAATCGCTCCAATGAGTGTGACAAACCAAAAATCCTTTTGTTTCACACACACACACACAACTCATGCACCCACACACAGTAACCAATGTGTTGGTCTGCTCCAATTTTATCCGACGATAAGAGGTCGATTAATGTTAACAATATAGACGAGTCTTGACTTGAACATTTTTTGAACAGAAAACAAATAACACATTTCATGCGCCAACGTCAAATTAATCATCGATCTATTTTCCTCATAAAAAATATTGATTATTTGAATGGATGTGATTTTTAAATATTGTAGTTGCTATAGCTGCTGATTATAGATTGGCGACACGTAGATGAAAAATTTCTTTTTTTTTTTTAGTTCACATCTTATGCACTATAATATAGTTATAATGCATATATATTATGTCTGATAATTATGTAATATTTATAAAAAAAATATATTGAATATACTTAACGCCAAACAGTCATATAGCCCAAGAATAATTTTCGAATTTTTCTCAAATATTTTTAGTATGCTATTGAAAAATAAAGAAAAATGTAAAAAAAGGTAAGAAAAAAAAAATAAGTTTTTCCTCTAAAATGTGCAAATTTTATTATTACTATAGTTTACAATAGCTAATTTTACGTACTGATAGTTATTATACATTTTTCAATTAAAATCAAAAATATATTTATCATGAAATGTGTTAATATTCGAATACAGTAGACAATTGATTTAGAATTTTAATACGCCATTTCATATTATTCTACATTTTTAAAAAGGAGCAAATATTGTTAACATAGTTTATCCCCATAATTTACTGAAATAATGATACTAGTTAAATAAAATTAATATCAATAAAATAATGAATCCGAATGATTTAT